CTTTGTCTCCCCGAGACCAATACTTTCGGCGCTCGCCAGGCTCTTCGTGCGCAGCAGGGTAGCTTGGCTGGTACTTTCATTTCCGAGGGACGAGTTGCGCTCAAGAAACACTGGCTACTGCTCATCTACATGGTGCTTTTGATGGCGGGATTTAACTTTATGAGCCACGGCTGTAAGTTGTGTCCTAGAAGCTTTCTACCAGTCACGCTGCTTCGACTTAAGGTTACTGACCAAACAATTAGCCCAGGACTTGTACCCAACCATGTTGACGAACCAGTTCAAATTCTCCGCCGACGCCGTCACCGTTACACAGGTTGTAGCCAATTTGGGCGCCATGACAGGTGGCACCACCATCGGATATTGTTCGCAGATCTTTGGTCGTCGATTCAGCATTATTTTTATTTCCATTGTCGGCGGAGCACTACTGTACCCCTACACCTTTGTCACTTCCAAGGCTGTGATTGCCGCGGCATTCTTTGAGCAATTCTGCGTGCAGGGTGCATGGGGCGTCATTCCCATTCACCTGATGGAGCTTTCTCCTGGCTCCTTGCGGACGTTCGTTGTGGGTACCTCGTACCAACTAGGCAACCTAGCTTCGTCGGCATCTTCTACGATTGAGTCCACCATTGGTGAACGATATCCTCTTGAACCTCTGATCAACAAGGAGGGAAAAGCCGTGAAGAGATACAACTACGGCAAGGTCATCTGTATCTTTATGGGCGCGGTATACGCCTATACCATTTTGCTGACCTTTGTTGGGCCTGAGAGGAGAGGGAGGAGTCTGAATGTGGAGCACGATGAGGACATGGCAGAGGTCACCCACACGGATTTGAGCCACCAGATTCCTGTCCGCGGAGACTCTAGCGAGGACGAAAATGTGATTCCAGGCGAGAAGGTTTGAATTGACGGGCTGACGACAGAGGGCTTTTCTGTGGCAAGATGAGTTGATGGATAGTATGGTGTGCGCATGGTCCCGGAGAAAAGTGAATCTGTTCGGATCAGAAGCATGAAGATGACGAGGGTTTCCATTTGCTCGTTCGCCGCAAAGCCATCACGAGAGATGCAAGAACTGGAATGACTCTGTGCTGGCACGAGATTGACACGACTGGACCGGGATGAATTAATTCCTTTACACCCCAATTACGAACTTCTATGCTGTTCTATTCTAATGTTTTTCATTCGTTAGCCTTGACCTGATCTGCTGTGTCGGTGTAAAGTCCTGACTGACTCGCTTTCTCCCTCCCTCTCTCTCACATACACATCAGAATCCAAGAATCCAAGTCATGACACGCCTTGCCTGGTTCTATGTTCTCCTCGTCCTCGTCCTCGGTCGGGAATTACAGACGAGAAAAAGATTACCCATGAAAGCCAGTCTACATACAGCTAGATAGGTAGCCTACGTATACCAGGTACATTAAGGCACTGAACATATACCTTCATCTGTACCTCGTACCTCGTACATGTACCTGTGCATGATCATTATCACAGACCGCGCGTGTAGATATAGATGTACATATGTACATATGTAGGGTCTGTACAAATAGCCCTCAAAACACAGGGTTCTAGTTTCCCTGTCATTCCTTACTTGCTTGCCTGCGTCTTTGAAGGAGATGAAACCCTCGTGTATTCGCTACTCAGACAAGTGCTCGGTGCAAGTACAAGTAAGGACATGCGCGAAGGATCCGGGTGCGGTACCGTCAAGTACCTATTACCCACCAAGGGTCACCTACAGTACCTACCTACCCACCTATATGAATAGAGTCATCTAGTTTCCAAGTGCGGAGTAACGTAGTAGCTTATCCGTTCCCTGGGGTTCCCCTCCGAGAGCCCGATGAGGCCAGTCAGCTTGATGATACGAGTAATCAGTACACATGTACGAGGTAGATATACATAATACGCCCAAATAGGGAGAACTCGGAGGCCGATGGTTCACCACAAGTCATCATGACGTACGTCGGTCGGTCGGACTTTTTAAAGCCAGAAGAAGGATTTCTGGGGCAAGGAAATGTGCGAGAATAGCTTCGGAGGAGGATCAAAGTTGAGCGTCGGTGCGCCGCAAGCCTATCATGGTGGCTTCTGGGGTTTCTGCGTTCAAGGGTCTAATGCTTTTCGTTGCATGAGTCGGCCATCTTAGATATCTTGGGGGAAGCTTGTGGTATCTTGTGGCGTTGGGTCTAGCCAAGGTGCAATATGCGTGGGCTTGAGATACCGCGATTAGTCGTGGATACTTAGGATTTGCCGCCATAGTCACAATTCTCGTCACTGAACAAATGGCGTTCAGTTGCACACGAAATGGCAACCCATGTCCGGTTCGTTGAGCCATGTTCATCCCATTTGGAGCCGTGCTGCAAGAGATTTCCAGGAAAGCAAGATTTGGTGGGTGTCCAAAACATGTTTTCTCTCGATTCGCAATGTCAACATCGTGGACTCCGCACTGGGAGCTTGGTTTTGGAGCCCTTGCTCATGCATTTCGAAACGCATGTTATCTTTGAACAGGCGTCAAGGCTGACAGTCGCTGATTCATCCGGCTCGGACATTTTCGATAAGCCGTTAGCATACGCTAGTCAAGCAACACTTGACCACAAATATCAATGCCATCAGCCTTTATCGGACGTGTCGAGTCTCATCGCTGTCCTTGCCTCGTCTGAGAGCCATCTAGGAGCAACCCTGTTCCTATGTCAAACAAAACAACGAGGCTGACAGCGCTGGCTAATGGAACTGCCCACGCCGGGGAAGGATGGGACAAATGAGCCAAAACATTCAAAATAGCAAATCCATTGGGGATTCTGTGAGTTGATCCGCCTGGACTCTGTACTCGGTACCTGTCTTCAGGTACATGAGTAGTTGGTTGCCTGATGGCATCCACCATGGTCTCGGCGTGGGGGCTTGAATCTATCTTCATCGTGTTGGGATACGATGGAATAACCCCATAGGATGTCATAGGGACGGCACAATCAGGTCCTTCGTCGGTGCTGATGCGTCTTCAGTGTTTCTATATACTGAATACTGTTGGCATCGAATCACGGGCGGGCTGTATCCCACAGTCTCTAACGGTCCCACAATTCGTGACCTCAACAGAGACTCGTTTAGCATCACTGGGCCTCTTCAGCCGTTGGAAATGGTGCCATCATATAGCTCGGCACCTGAATCTTCTCATTTGCTCTCCACAATCCCAGAACCTAGTTGTGAGGCCAATGGAAGTCTGAGAAAGAATTGCCGAATCACCACGAAGCAATGTCTAATCGTCCCGTATTTGAAGTCTTGTTTGCTCTAAGTTTGATATCGGCTCGGTTGACTGGGCCTGTGCGCAAAACCAGGTTGAGGTTCCACTGTCGGTCGCTATCTGAATATCTCCGACCATCACTGTGCCGCGTCCATCGAACATTCTGTACCTAGTGGATTGCATACGAGTGCTGTACATAATGCCGAAGGTAAAAAGCAGATGACAAGTCCGTGGAGCGCAACCAGTCCTCTTTAACAATACGATGGAGCAGAGGCTGGCTGCCAAGCTTTGTAGGCTCATTTAGACATCGATAATGGCCGCTTGTGGCACTGTGGTGACAACCAGGAAGCGAGATGAATGGCAAGGCCAGCTTCCATGCCTTATCTGGTTGATTAACGGTCGTCCATCGTTCTTCTGGTAGCTATCGCATGCTAGTTTGTCTGCAGGAAGAAGATCTGCTCTTGGGTATCAGCATCAGTATGGTTTATCTTTAGCCCTGGTTGAGAAGGTGGCTGGGCTCAGTAAGCTGTGGATTTCGACATCCCTCTCCCCCTGTCAATCATTTGCTGGCAGGCCGCAGGGCCAACGGGAGCGCAACATATGTAGTTTCGTCCTCGTAGACAGCCCCGTAACAGTATAGGTACACGTCTTGTGTGCCAAAAACCTGCACCTCTTGCCAAATCGTTAGGAGGTTATCAACCAGAGAAATCAACAGGGCACGTTCGATTTGTGAATGTGACCTGCCAGTTCTTGTTGCACTACGCGCCAGATGTAAGATACGAGGTTCTTGAGACTGGTTTGATCGACACTGGCAGGCGGACCTGGGGCTTTTCTAGATAGCAGGAGAGTACCTCGTACACGATGAGTAGACAACCTGGTTCAAATCTCTTCAAGAGGCATGGAGGACGGAGTGGATACTTCGGGAATCAGGGCAGGACAAGGGTCGACAGAGAGGGCCGATTGGCGATGATTGGTGTACCTGGCAGACATTGTGTATCTCTGGGAAATGCGGAAACCCGGCACAAGACAGGAGAAACGAGGTTAGTGATCGACACGAGAGGTTCATGCTCCTTTTTGGTGTACAAAGGGGCAAGACTATCGAGCGGAGAGTGGAAAAGCTTCTTGGTAGACTGATATGGCAACAAGATGGACGATGAGACGACGTGGCTGCCCCGTGAAGAAAGTGAAGAAACCTTCGTGCGTGTCAAGGAATCCTTGGCTTGCGCAACCCTGAGTCGCGTTGCTGGTGTTGCGGCAGTTTCAATCTGCCACCAGCCCAAAAATTTTAGTTAAAGAGAAGCCCCCCAAAATGGGTCGCTACTGTGCCCTAATCTTAGCCAGCCCAAGGCCAGCCATGCCCGGGAATGCCCACTTTATCGGGCCCCCAGTGCCGCTAGTCTATGCTTATCCGGTGAAAGGTTCAAACTGCGCCTTTTCAGGTACAAAGCGCTCCGTACAGAGATTCCCTGCGTGCAGTTATCATGTCCATGCGCGCCTTTGCTATCTGATCATTGTTTCCGTCTTGGTTTCCTTGTGCCTTCATCCTTACCCACGGCTGGCTCGAGGACATCACATCCACCGACTCGTCTCAGCAGACCCTCTCTATATCGAACCATGGCCCCGAAGATGACCTGCAGAGTCTATTCGCCTTCATACGTGTAAGGGTCCGCGTCCCCGACAAACATACGACACTAGACACCACTGCCTCATCCATCTCACCTGTGACCTGGTTCCTGCTCCAGCTCCTGCGTCCTGCAACGCTGGTCGGCTCCATCAGATGGCGTATGCCTCGGTCGCCCAGGCTGAGCATGAGGCCGTATACCGCGAGTCCGCTGCTGACTCTGTCCACCATGATCCGCATTCCTACTCACCCGCCCGTTCTCCAATCCTTCCCGAAATCTCCAGTCCACCGCTTTCCCTGCCACTGTTCGATCAGTTCTCCCGAGATGGCGACCTCTCGGTCGGTTCTCCAACTGGACCAAATGCCGTAGGCGTTGGGTCTCTTCTTAAGTCTTTGTCTTCCTCGCAGTCGTATCAAATGGTGGAAGAGGATGACTACGAGGAGCCCATGCCCAAATATCCAGAACCTCTCGCACTGCGATCGAAAATGGACGTTCTCCCACCCGCACAGGACAAAGCCGCATTCCAGAAAGAGGACCCTCCAATCAGAACAGCCTCAATCAGTCGTCACCTGCCCTTAAATCATCCGACCCCAGATTTACAGTCGCTGCAAGGGGCCTTGGTCAAAAATGTGGAACGCCTGGAAGAAAGCGCTGAACGTTTGAGCATGACCTCGAGCCTTGAGGATGAGCTGAATAAGATGAAGCAAGATCAAAAGCGACTAGAGCGGCAGTCCTCTGCGCCGGCGACTTTGGACAACCCTATTCGACCATCAGTCCAGAGACAGTACTCAACTGGTTCATGGTCGAATTCCATTATTGGTGTGAACCAGACGGCCAGGTTAGGAGGATATTCTCCCTCAGGATACCACATCACGTCTCCGTCTGGTTCAATCCGCTCGGGGCCACGTACACATCAGCACCATATCGAACGGCGATCTTCAAAGGACAATCATCTCAACCATGTTTTGCCGACCTTGGAAGGCCGGCCGTTGCAATTCAGTCCGGAGCGTACTACCTCCATCTCCATCTATCCTGAAGACGAAACGGCGCCCAATCCGCTGCGACGAACGTCCAATGGGTCAGTCCAGGAGGAGAGGCCAACTACATCCGCTTCCAACGAAACATATCGTCAAGCTCAAGCCGTGTTCAACGACTTTGATGGAGTGCATTACGGCGGACCTGTGTCACATGAATCAGCTGCTGCTATGTCACGACGAATATCACTCCATCAACCACCACTTGCACGGGACTCGAAAGCCTACAAAGAACCTCAACCGGGAGAAAGAATGATCTACTATCCTGCGCCAGTTCCAGTCATGTTGAACCTCCCACAGAGACTTTCAAAGTTCAACATTAGTGAACGAGACAAACGTCGGCTCCAGGCACTGAGTGGCATCCCAGATGATGCGCGTAAATCGGCCATCTGGCTCAAAGAGGAAGATAGCGCCAAAATACAAGATCCAGGCAGTACACTCAAATTACCACCCAGTTGCGAGCCAGCGCTTTTTTTGAACAGCCTAGTGTCACTCAGGATCTCCAGCTCAAGAACGGCTCCGCTGTCCAGACGCTGGACAGTGTCTTGGACGCCGCCGCACACGCTCCTGTGTCGGCCTTCACTGATCATCCAATTGCTGGTCATCTTGGGAAGGAAGTGTATGGTCCGGACGCCTCCCCTAGAAAGAGTATGCAATTAGACGAAGCTAAGACAAAGAAACGCCGGAGTTCAATTGGCACAATGCTCAAGACAAGACGTTCAAGCACTGCCCTCTCCAATTCGGGCCTGCTGCGCTCAAAATCAAGAGGCTCTCAAAATCTAGATGTCGACGACCAAGCTAGTGGGGATGAACTTGACCGAGCTACGGCTGCATCTATAGCGCCTGATGGTGATGAGATACCCGATGAAGAAGAGGACAAGGACGTCGCCCCACCAGGATTTTCGACAGCGCCAACGACTCTCCTTGCCGAGTTACAGATGCGCAAGGAACAACAAAGATTGCGTAATCGTACTGCGGCAGACGCCTTCCCCAATGGCATGCACTCGACTTTGCTTGAGCTGGATGCTGTTACGCAACTTCAACAGCGAGCCCGAAAGACCAAGCATGTCACCTTGGCTTGGGAAGATCATGATGAAGCGGACAAGCAGAACTTTGATGATGAGGATGTACCTCTCGGAATCCTGTTCCCCGAAAAGGATAGAGCAGAGCACGCCAATGCCCATAGACCAATTGGTCTCCTTGAGAAGCGGGAAATGGAGGAGAACGAGCCTTTGAGTCAACGACGGGCGAGATTGCGAGGCGGGCAAGTTCAAACTTCGAAATCCGAGGCTAAGAGTCAGATTGAGGAGGGAAGCCGGCCACCATTCATCGAGGAAGTCCCAGGCCTAGCTCAAGAAACCCTGCCCGAAGATGAAGATGAGACTCTAGCACAGAGGGCAGCAAGGATGAAGCTAGAGAAAGAGAAAGGTACTGGAGGCCAATTTACAGAGGAGTTGACCTCACAATTAGGTCTTAATGGCACGAACGACGTCCCCCCACCATCAAAAACACCGGATATGGAAGAAACATTAGCACAGAGGCGAAAGCGGCTGAAGGAGGAAGCAGCCGCCAACCCGCAGGGCATTCATCAGGTCAAACCCATGCATAGCCTGGCTAATTTACTCCAAGCTCATCCTGCTGGTGCCCAGTCAAAACCAGGGCTGCCAAGGACCAGTTCGAATCAGGTATACAACTCGATGCAGAACCCAAATTGGGGCTATCCTCAGCAAAATACTGCTTTAAATGGAGCTTACGGGTATCCGCAGAATGCCGGGTATATGAATGGAGGATTCGGCGCACCGTTGCCCACCTATATGCAACAGACATATCCATACTCATATGGTACTCAACCATATATCCAGGACCCGATGATGGGCCCACCGTTGGATCCCAGACAGCGAGCGCAAATTGATCGCTGGCGACAGAGTATCGTGCAATGATTGCACGAACCTAGCGCATTGACTTTGTCATATATCCCTTTTGTCCCTGGTTGGGTATTGTGGATTTGGAAATCATGAGACCAACCGCGCTCATGGGAGCTTCTGATCACTTGGATGGCATAATGAAGACAATATTGTACGAAAAGCATGAGCAAGATACGACGAGCCTGGCGGTAAGGAGTATCGGTAATACTGCAGGACAGGGGCAGATGTGGGATGCTATTAATTCTTGCAGTAGGTTAGAAACATGTTGTAAGGATATAATATGATGTCTCACTGTCTGCACGGTTAATTTCCACGTGGCTACAAAGGCATGGTTTGCAGGGGTCTATTGATGATCAAAAGGCTGTAAGCGTGGTCGTTCAAGTGCTGAGTTCGGAGCCTTCCACGTGATTCGGGTAAGCCAAGTCTGTTGCTGTGGCAGCCGCACGAGGGTAAACAACGCAGGTGCGATTCCAACGCGGGCTGTCGTGAGGCCAGACCACTTCCACGTCCACATCCGTGCCTTGGCTATGGATCGTCCTGCTGCCCGTGCTCTAGCATCGTTCATGTTTCTATAGAAATGAGAAACTGTATCTGAATAGGCACCGTGCCCAAATATATCTTCTTCGATCCCTCCACCATGGCACCCTCCGTCCATCAGGTTGCTCAGATCTTTGAGGATCCAGAACCTCAACAAAGAGGCCGAAGAGCGAACCACAACCGAGCTCCTTCAGTGGGAGACGTCCTCAGAGGGCGTCAAAGGGACAACGTTAGCCCTGCAAAGCCGCAGAAACCATCCGGTCGAGAAGTTGCCAACTCTGCCAGTCCACTTGGAGAGCGGCACATCAACAGCCCACCACAACCGAAACGAATTGCAACAAAATCAGGAGATGAGCCTGGCCGTCTTGCTCTGTCCCACACGCACAAAAAGACAGGGAGTTCTGTGTCGTTGAAAGGAATTATTTTGGGCAAAGAGAAGAGTACGGATACTGGGAGTATTTCCCCGATCGAGGGCAACACGGCCGACAAGAAACTTAAGAAGGTGAAATCAGCCAGCAACCTGACTGGACTATTGAAACGGAGGTCGAAGAAAGATCTCAGGGAAGAGAATAACAGAAACAGCAGCAACCAAGAAAATTGCCCTCCACCAAAGACAACACTCAGCGAGAGTCCCACTCCTATTTGGGCACAGTTTGCGACTCAGCCTTTGGAAGCGGCCGATGGCAAGATGATATATCCAGCTTCGAAGAGGAGGACTGTTCAAGAGGAGATAAATCTGTATACCCCCAAAGACTATTCCGAATTTCGTCCTGCGGAACAAAGGAACTTTTATGGCTACGGTCCAGCGGCATCACCGGTGTTGGACTATCAGCCACCGCAAAGACCATTCTTGGAGCACAAATCTAGCAGAAGCTCCATCTTCACCGAGAACATTGATGATGATACTGAAGCGAATATTAAACCGCCAAAGAGTAGGGATGGACAAATCAGCCGCCCAGCTTCCTCTTCCAAACCTGATGGGCATCCCATTACACCCATCCAACCTCCATCCTCATCTCAAGCAGACCCCAAAGTCAAGCTAGGCTCGAGGGTTTTCGAGGCAATCCAGACTTTCAATATGAGAGCTCGCAAGGATACCCGTCCAGTCCCAGAGCCTTTGAATTCCGCAACCTCTCCCCTCAGTCCTCAAGAGCTGGACTCGGCGTTTGAGAAAGTGTTGGATTCATTGAACATTCCACTGAATATGCGGGACAATATGCGAAACCTCAAGCCGGATGTCAAGGCCGGCTTGATGAAGGGTGATCGTGTTGGCAGTGGTTCGTCTACGATGTCAGCCATCGCTGATAGCACGGAGGCCAGCTCATCATCTAGGAACTCTCACAAAAAAGAAAATGAGAGGCCAAGGAGCGAGGGTGAGGAGAGCAAGGAAGGCAGACGATCCAGATCCCGATCCCGCCCTAGAAGTCGTATCTTGACACTGACCAGGCGGGAAGAAGACTCTCCTACAAAGCAAGACAAGCCAAGTTCATCCTTGAGATCACGCAGTAAATCCAGGAACAAATCCGCCGACTTGACGAGCTCAAGACCCAATTCGGCGAAAGCAATGTCTTCGACCGTGTCGCTAACATCCCTCAACCCGGCGGACAGCGCTACCACTCCAGGAGATTTCATCCATTACCTTCGAGAGGTACAGAAACCTGCACTTGTAGAAGTCAGCAAGCTTCACAAACTGAGGATTCTTCTGAGGAATGAGTCGATTTCTTGGACGGATCATTTCGTGAGCAAGGGCGGCATGGACGAGCTTGTTCAACTCTACTACCGCATCTCCAAGATCGAGTGGCGCGAAGAACATGAAGACAATCTTCTTCACGAGGCTCTGCTGTGCTTGAAAGGGTTATGCACGACATCCCTTGCCCTACAACGTCTACAACAAATGGAAAATGAGTTCTTCCCAGCACTCTTGCGAATGTTATTCGATCCAGAGCGAAAGGGTCCATCAGAGTTCAACACCAGAGGCGTGATAATCTCGCTCCTTTTTGCTCACTTGTCAGCCGAGGTCGGTTCTAGTCCGGAGGTTGTTCAAGGACGAGCACAGAAAATCCTTGGATTTCTCAAGGACCCCGTACCAGAGGATGGCAAACAGCCGCTCGACTTTGTGTCACAGATGCATACTCCTCGACCTTACCGAGTCTGGTGCAAAGAAGTTGTTAATGTCACGAAGGAAGTTTTCTGGATATTCCTGCATCATCTCAACGTCATTCCCATTATCGAGGTTGATGACTCAGTGGGCTATTGTCGAGCACATTTCCCCCCTCCTCGACCACCGCACCCGGCAGCTCCGTACGTGGGAGGCGTTGAGTGGGAAGCGACGCAGTACCTCGCTACCCATCTGGATCTACTGAACGGGCTAATAGCCTGCCTCCCAACTGCGGCAGACCGGAATGCACTGCGGGAAGAGCTAAAGCAATCCGGGTTCGAGAAAGTGATGGGTGGGAGTCTTCGGACATGCAAAGAAAAGTTCTATTCAGGGGTCCATGAAGGCCTAAAGTGTTGGGTTGCGGCGGCCAAAGCAGACCAGTGGCCAGCGGAAGACGTCAGAGCAGGTCCGCCGAGAGAAACGCTTAGTCCGAGGAAGAGTCCCGTCAAGAAGAAAGGCGATGAGCCTCCACAACTCGCTTTGGATGTGGGTGTTGGTCACGGACAGTCATCGAAAGTGGACGATGGCTGGATTTGAAGCTGTGACACGTACAGGAGCATCAAAGGGCAAGCAGACCGTGTTCAATGGAGGAATTGATTAGATGGTTGTTGGAAAGGGGAAGAGGTTATGACCTTGACGACTTTTACTGTCCCGTGCAAAGATCGATCATTGTTTGTAAGCGAAAATTATGATGGAGTATTAGCTATTGGCGTAACGGACTTGGTTCTGAATGTAATGAAATTTCCCCATTCCCAGAGATGTATTGGTTATCGGTAGGGAAGACAAGATGGGAAGGGGGCTTCGTAAGGCTGCGAGGCTACGAGGCTGAGGCTGAGAGTGTGGCTGAACAGACGGCTGCACGTGACAGCGGAAAAAGAGAGGAGAAACTTTGATCGGTGGGTTGATGTCACCAACCGCCGATTGGAGTATCCAGCCAGCAGCAAGCGGAAGAGGCACAGGGAGCAGAGCCACCAGAACAAGAGGGAGGGAGATGCGCGCAACGCTGGCTGCGCTCCCCCCCATGGTTCGTTCTCGACCACATTTTCCACCGCGCTTGCACCTCGTTGACCAGCTCAGACTTTCTCTCTTTGATGATGCTGTCGACTATTTTGATCATCTTGTTTCCGCTGTTTTAGTCTCTGCTTATTCTGTACCGCCGATGCTGTGATAAATTTGCTAGACTTCTCGCTCAGGCCATCTTCGCAAGGATCGCACACTTTCGCAGCTCTGGTCCCCTTCAGGTCTACCTTCCCACCATCGGATATCCTTATGTCCACGACGACAATGACTACAACCCTGGGCACCTCCAATGTGCGAGGCGTCCCATCTCGCCTGACTCGAACCAATCCTGCCAGAGCCTCGAAAGGCCTCGGATCGACCCTCCTGCGCCAGAACTCACTCGTCTCCAATAGTGGTCTTGCTCTGACATCCTCTTCCACCGCCGTCGCTTCACAAAGCCAGGCCAACAATGACCCGCCAGCCATGTACCCTGCCATTACTCATTTTGCCGATGCGATCTCCGCTCTGCCTCGAGAATACCGCCGACACACCTCACTGCTGAAGGAGGTCGATGCAAAAGCGTGGGGTCCTGAAGAAAATCTACGAGAGATCTTGGAGCAGTGTCTGACGGACAGTGCTGTGACAACGAATCATCTAGCTGCTGCTTCCCAGAGCCTGGCTGGCTCCGTTGTCGCAGATGATACCCTGAATCTCAGCGAAGCGAACAGCGTCGCCGGTGCGTCCTTTGACAACGCCTCCCTCGCCTCTGCGCGATCTGCCGATCCCATCATCATGCACCGCAGACAGCAATACCACGCTCTGAGGCAAAATCTCATGACGATCATGGTCACTATGGATGAGAAAAACCACGTCATCAACAATGCCAATGAAGAGGTGGGGAGACACATTCAGAGATTGGATCGTATATGGCCACACATCGCGGACGAAATATCGGAAGAAGCCAGACTGGGGAGCCTGAAGCACTGGGCCTACACCGAAACGAATCCCATCAAGAAACCCACCGTGCCCACTACGCGCAGAGAGGCTGCGGCCGCTGGCTTAGCCACTCTGCATGAGAGCGAGGTCGCGCATAGAAGCGAAGCTAGGAGGGAGGCGGTTCTTGCAAGGAGGCAACGGGGAGCCGCCAATCATGCCGACTCTGACTTTGACGAATCTAGAGCACCCACGCGCAAAACAACCACGAGCGGCAAGAAGCGGACGGCTGATGCAGCACTCGATCCTGCTGGGCTGGGCATCACCGGCGCAGGTGCAGGCACGGGGAAGAGGAAGAGACCGGAAAAGCCTGCAACTGCGGGTGTGGCCATGGAACGCTCGATAAGCAGTGCACTTGGAGGACGTCCGATGTCTAGGGAGAATTCGCAGCAAGAAAACTCCAAGAAGAGAAAGGCATCCGCTACTGTCACCTCTGTGGCCCGCAAACGGTATGTGTATGATCAGAAAACCGAGAGTGCTGCTAATGATTGGATTTCTAGGATCAATGCCGCAACCCAAGACTCGCCCAAGCTCGCCTCGTCACCGCTTGCTGGAACAACGGGGAAAGAAGCTTACAAGCGTAGTCCTGCTCTCTCTGCAGTCCGCCCTGCCGGTCGAGGACGCCAGAATTCTGCACATACTGTCGAGAGCGTGAAAGGGAGACCTTCTTCCCTGACATCGAGCAGAAATGGGAATAATAACAACAATGTGGCCGCTGGTATATCGGAGTTGGGCAGTTCCGCTGCGGTTAGTGGGAAGAGCACAACAGACACAAAAGCCGAGAAGGGGGAGCGACTAGTTGAAGATGAGTCTGCGAGGTTGAATGACGCGGATGGCGAACAATTAGCGAAAGGGATCGCATCGTCGGACAAGACCACCAGCAGGCAAGATACTGCCAAGGGCGACCTACAAGAGGAAGTATCCGCGAAGGAGGCAGCGTCGCCGCGTCTGCCGCCAGCACTGCAAATAAATGAACTGAAGAACGAGCGCTTGGGTAGAGGCCGAGCTTCCAAGACGTCAACACCAGTGGTTAGCACTTTTGCCGAAGTCGACGCTGCAGAGACGTCGTCGACTGGCGGAAATGGCGGTGGTGCCACGAAAGCCAAACGCCCAGCCAGACCGAGAGTGAAGGACCACGGTCTCCACGATTCTCTGTCACCAAAAGGCTTGCCAATGAAGCGACCTCACAAAAAGAGTGCGAGTTTATCGTTTCCTTCTACCTCGAACGCTCTCGGCAGCCAGCGGGTAAAAGATGAAATGGACCCTCCCACGAAATCGTCCACGCCATCAGACCGCGACCTGGCGACTGGCACCCCGGTGATCAACCCCGAAGCAGGGGAGGTAGAGGACGAGGATGAAGAAATCGACGGACTGGAGGAAGACGAAGAGAGGTACTGCTACTGTCAAGGGGTGAGTTACGGGGAGATGGTGGCGTGCGACAGGGACGATTGTCCCAGGCAATGGTTCCATTTGGAGTGTATTGGGCTGAAAAGCGTGCCCAAGAGCGCCAAGTGGTATTGCGACGAATGTAAAGAGGTACTGGCAAGGAGTGAGAAGACGGGTGGGAAGGGAAAGAATGGTGGCAATGGACACAACGGAAAATAGACACAGGCGATGTTTGGCAACACAAGCCAGGGCGAGCGAATTCTTGGGGGCCAGAGACAATATCGATATGTATACAAAGCATTCGGTGCATGCACCAGTATTACAAGTACAGAGTACCATGACTGTATTCGGCGTCTTGACTGCTCGGCTACTCTGCTCTGCTCGTGCCTGATATATGGACCCAATATTGCACAAGAGTGGAGTGGCTCTTCCGTGCCTTGTCACGGGCTTTGGATGGACAAGAGGGGCGATGCTGTTGAGCCGTGAGCCGTGAGCCTTGAATCTTGTAGCCCTGTAAAGCTCACGGATTTCCCACTGTGTCTCCCCCCCTTCCCCCGTGTGTGGGCCTTTTTCATTTGTCTTTGTCAGGGGTGGTCGTCGTCGAATGCTCAGTTGTCATGAACTGACTGTATATTTTTACACAGGCCAAGTCAAAAATTATACCTATGGGGCCTTTGGAGGGGTATTGTAAGTTCCAGTTTCAGATAATTATCCAGTCACCCGCGCCCCGTTGTTGGTTTTGTGGAGGGAGGGGCGGGAGAGGAGCAGGGAGGAGCAGAGAGGAGTGAGCTAGGTACCGAGTAATTATGTAGGTGCTAGACTCTTGAGCTGCCAGGAAGCAGGCTAAGTGGCTACCTAAGATAAATAGGTTATTTACATCATAATATTCGGTACGGAAGTATGCAATAGGCAATTCTACAGTGGCACTGGTAACGGGGTCGGTTTTCAACTTGACTCGTAAGCGAAACAAGGTGTCCAGATGGGTGCCAGACTCCTTTGTGGAATTGAGAATGCCAGGAATCCACCGGTAATCTTTCTGGTACGAGTGAGTTGCGAGGTACCATCCTACAAAGGTGGTCGCAATCGCAATCGAATCCGGAAGGTAGGTAAGGGGAGGGGGTTTGATCTATACCTGTACATGTACAGGTCAAAGTACAAAGTACAAAGTAGGTTGCCGGCATGGGAGTGGCTCCGGGGGGTTTGGTATTGATCTGCACCACAAGTCAAGTAGGTTGTCGGCGTGATGGCGGTGGTGGTGGTGGCTCCTCCGGGAGTTCACGGTCCCATCGTGTGGCGCGCACGATGGATGCAGAGACCGAACCGACCGTGTGAGGGGATCCAATGGCCGTTCAACACGACAAGACAGGTGCATGGACAAGTAAGTCACTTGCACACAGAGGCACAGGAGCACAGAACGCAAGGGCTCCGGGGAACACGACGCGCTGCGTTGGTGGGGGACGGGGAACGTCCAACTGTCCAATACAAACATCCGTGGACTGAGTACTGTGTACCGAACAAATCCAGTGGCACATTTTTCGTTGGACTACAGCTGCAGATGCAGCACGATTCGGACTTGGATTCGCGCCATGTGTACTTTGGAAAGTGCTAGTTCTGGGCGTGTAGGGATGAGGAGAAGAACATCGTTCGGTTCTGTTCTGGCTGTTCCTTTGGTAGTACATACAAGTACACCTCGCTTTACCTTGATACATACCTAGATACTAGGTATTAGGTACTTGGGACACGGTACCCATCAATCACCACAGAGGTCCTCGCCCACCCCTTATCTGACTTTGGCAACAAACGTGTTTCTCGCTCGGCAACAACAGAGATGGCGCAAAAACCGCAGACTCTGGATGGAAAGTTGGCCATCGTGAGCGGAAGTTCCAAAGGCATCGGGGCAGCTATAGCCGTCGAGCTGGCTTCGAGGTATGTCGGTAGGGGGTGTTGGAATTGACAGGGTCGAACCTTCAGTGTGGCCCATGCGTGTGCCCTATATCTCAGGACGAGCACACAGCTGACAGACTGGATTCTTTGATACAGAGGCGCTCTCGTGGTCACAAACTATCCGTTTGCTTCACTTCAACAAGAAGCAGAGGCCACTTTGGACAAGATTCGAGCCACCGGCGGGAGCCATGTGAGCGAGTGCTTCGCTGTCGAAGCCGATCTATCAACGGTGGACGGTCCAAAACACCTCGTCGAAGAGGCCGTCAAGCGCACCAACGGTCGTAAAGTCGACATCCTGGTCAACAACGCCGGCATCGCCAGGATGACATTCCTCAAGAACGTCACCCTCGAGGAATGGGACGCCCAAGTCAACTTGAACGGTCGTGGGACGCTGCTCTTGACACAAGCCGTCTTGCCGCATCTGGCCAAACCGAGCAGGATTGTCAACCTGAGCTCTAGCGGAGCCCGACAGCCATATCCAGGAGCGAGCGTTTATAACGGGACGAAAAGCATGATTGAGAGTTTTACTCGATGTTGGGCTGTGTAAGTACTTCACATTTGCCCACCCACCGAATGTTCCTTAGCCCTTCTCTTCTCCCGCTAACGGATTCCCTACCAAATAAAAGGGAGCTGGGCCGGGAGTATGAGTGTACCGTCAACGCCATTTGTCCAGGAGCCACGAGCACCGATGCATTCAACGGATTGACAGGCCCTACTCGAGACAGCCTAGAGCCAATGCTGGCCATGACCCCTGCGGCATCCCGACTTGGAGAGACCGAGGAGATGGCATATGCGGCCGCCTTCTTTTGCGAGGAAAGGGCCCGGTGGATGACTGGCGTCTGCTTGGGTGTGAACGGCGGGACGCATATGGCTTGAGCAATGCCCCCTTCAGCGCCATGGGAGAATGGAGTGATCCAGTTGATGTTAGCATGCCAGATGAAATTAATCGTAAGAGCCTAATAGGAGATTTGAGTGCACTGTGAGGTAGTAGATCTGTACTATCAATGCCCACAGCATTCCTCACACCCTTGAAACTATGAGGCTTACCCCTGATGATCTTCCCAACTTGTAACCTTGTTAAATCAGGCCGACCAGACGAAAATAATGCGCGGATACGGGACATCGTCTTGTGGCTTATGGAAGACTTCTCAAATATGGTTTGTGCAAGCATCATACTCTTCCCCGCGTCCAACGTGCGAGTATCGAGGGGGTTTGACTGCAACGGACGCGTCGCGCATGGAAGGAGGACGCGTGAACATGGCAACTAAAGCGCCGGCTGAAAGACGGGCACCCACTTTAGCTCATGATTGTTACATAAGCATCACACAGCCAATCAGCGCGTAGCCTCATCAGTGCCAGCACAGCCTCTGCGACTGACTGACCACCAACTCACCATCTGACTACAGACTGACTAACCTTGTATTATCCTAAGTCGTCGAGGTTGGATCCAAGGCTGAAGGATGAAATCAAATACTCCATAACAAACCCCCAGTCGCTCCGCAAAAAGGATCGAAATACTCCGTACATACACTGATGTCGCCAAGTCTCTTCCGCCCACCCCCGGACAAGCTAGCACCTACAGTACACCATCAGATCGCATCCTTCCCATGAAACACAAGTATACCGATGACAAGAACCCCGCCGAGGCCATGTTCACGCAACCCTTTGGCATTTCATGGCGCAAGGCCCTCGTCTCCCTCCCCCGCCTCGTCCCGGACTTTGTCCTCAACTTCACCGCTTCCGAGGGTCCGCAACCCATCGTCTTCGAGATCCCCTCGCGCGGCAAGCATCTGATCCCGGTCTACGTCTGGGTCCCGCCCCTGCGCAAGCACCGCCATCACCATATCTTCCACTCTCAGAAGAACGCGGCCGGTGCGCACCTCAAGGACGCTCTTCGACCCATCGGCATCGACGACGACCACGATGCGAAGTTGCCGGTTCTGATCGATTTCCACGGCGGCAGCTTCATCCTCGGATCATGTCAAGAGCAAGCACCCTTCTGTGCCAGGATGTGTCGTGAGCTGAATTGCGTCGTCATCTCGGTGGACTATCGTCTCGGTCCGTATGCGCAATTCCCTGCAGCCAATCTCGACGCCGAAGATGTTGTGCTTGCAGTGATTGACCCAAGCAGCAGAGCGTTCAAGCCGCTGAGGGAAGGAATAGTAAGTCCCCCTGTCTCTGAAATGCATACATTGGATTCGTAAAAGTTCTCATATTGAGCTTCATCAAACCGCGGTAGAGACTAATGCCGTTGCATAGCTGTGGGAGATGCTGAAACAAGGACGAAAACCTATCGAACTAGACGAGCAGAAGATCGCCTTTTCAGGATTCAGCTCCGGAGGAAATATCGCCCTGAATCTCGCTCTCAGTATCAAGGACGACCCAACGGCAGAGACAGACTGGGTGAGCCCACTGCCCTGGGACTGGCCGAATGACATTCCCGTTCTCTTGTTCTACCCGAGCCTGGACGCCCGGCTTTTACCACACGAGAGGCCAAGGCCCGAAGGACTTAATCCCCCTTCGGGATTTGTCGAACGATGGAAGATCGAGAAGGAATTGATGCCGACCTATCTACCCCCCGAGAAGAGGGGCCATCCACGAGCAAGTCCCGGGCTCGCGGACATCCGGGCGCGGGACGGCGAGAACTTCGGCCTCCACCCGAAAGCCAGGATGCTACTCGTGCTGCCCCAGTTCGACTCGCTGAACGAGCAGAGCATGACCTGGATCCAGAAGGTGCGCGACGAGGGCCGCGGCGACGACCTGATCGTCGAGGAGGTCAAGGGCGTCGTGCACGGGTGGACGCAGTTCCCGGACTCGTGGATCAGCGACCTGGAGCGGAAGCTGAAACTCAACGCCTTTCGCAGGGCAAGGGAGTTCCTCGAGGACCACTGGCATCTGGATACCAGGCTTGCTGTTGAGACGGAGGTTATCAGTCATGACAAGGACGGGGTTAGACAGAGTAGCACGAGTATAGATACTGCAGCCGCAGGGTCACAGAACTTAGGAGAAGCATGAAATGAATTAATCAATCAATGATAAAACACAAACAGTGACAAGTCGGACCTAGGACCCGCCCGGGCTCGGGGTTTATTTGATATTCGTTTCTCCCGTGTACAAGTGGTATACTGCTACCGAGTATTGGGGGTAGTTAATGCCAAAAACAGAGTCATTTCCGCTCCCATGAACGAAGGGAGGAAGGGAGGAAAGGAGGAAATGAGGCAGGCCATTTAGTGTGCGTTTCTCTCTCCCATGGCCTGCCTCTTTCTTTCTTTCTTCCATTGTTCCATGCATGATACCGTGGTCCGCCCACACGAGGGGTGGCCGGGCAGCTGGGCAGACACTGTAGATAGGCATGCGTATACAGATGCGTGTTCTATGTGTATAGCCTATGCATCACCAACCCGAGGTTTATCAATCTTCAGTCGACTCGGTGAAGGTGTGAAGGGTCAGGATCGGAGTAACCCATGCTTCGCCGACAATCCAGGCCCCTTATCAGAATACCATTGGGTCATATTGTGAGTCTGTTCCTGCACGAATATATCGCTGAGAGTACTGGTCACACCCTCCAAATCCTCGAGCTGCTTGAAGGTTAAGCAGGGTTGTCGCATCTTGTCCGTCAGCCCTTGCTGGATACAGTGAGGGCGTTCCGCAGCGGGTGGGCCAGTCGAAAGACATCTATTGCCCGTGACTTTGTGGTCGTTTGTCCGATTCCAGTCATTGTCTCTCGGCGAATCCCTACTTGAACAGCATGCCAGAGCTATGCTGGACGGTTCGTCGTCGTCCGAGAGTGAAATCCAGTCGGACCAGGTGCAAGGAGTTTGTTGCAAAATCTCCACATGTCTTGCCACTCAGATTGAAAAGCATATCAGCCGATTCGGGTTTCGAAAGAGCAAAATGCAGCCGGTCATATTCCAACTCGTGAATTCCATTTCGTCAATTGTATCCGCCCCTCCCGTCCACACGAACCGCCATCGTGGAATATCGTTAGGAGAACCCGAGTAATTGCGTGGGGAATGTAGAGCTCAATGAAAAGACAGGGGGAACAGGAGTCGCTTTGAAGTTTTGTGGGCATGATTGGGGAAGCAAGTGTGCTGGGCCAGCTTCATCTATCGCACTCTCGAGGCGAGATAATCAAAAACAAAGTAGAATAAACACGTAAAGAACTATTCATTACCATGTATCTGCCCCCGCTCATGCGCCTCATGACAAAGGCCGTACCTTTTCTGTTTGAGTAGGCGGTAGAGAAGAACGCGGGGGTTCCGCAGCACGTTGTTAGTCTGCGTTTTCCTCAATGTTGAATTATTAGTTTGATGCGGGCGTGCGGACGCTGGGAACGACGGCTTTCTCCTGAGCAGGATGGTTGTCGGTCAAAGTGTGAAAAGATAGGCGAAAAAGGCAGTACACCACATCGGATGGATAGTCGGTATGAAATTCAGGAAGTAGGTCAGCTGCTACGTATTGGGTAGTCGAGGCCCGCTAGGCTGACCTAGAATATCTTAGATGACAAGCCTTATTCAGCAGAAGCATTTCAATCGGAAAAATTGCTGCAAGATGCGGTTGGTCGGTCGCACATGTCGTTGGCTTCCCTTGTTGTCGGCTACTCAAGATTGAGATCAGACCCAGATATAAAGTCCGTCAGGGTAGCAAATCCACATGCGCCCCTTCGCCCAGGCTGCGCGGCGGCTGGGGAATCAAATCCGCAGACGCAGAAGCTGCGTATTCTGGGGGATGGAATCAGGAAGTTGCCCTAGGTCTTTTCGTTCTTACCGGCCATCCGCTCGCCAAACGGCATATCCCGTCGAATAGGCATGAATAAGCTTCCCACTCACTGAGTCGTCTAGGTCTGTCATAGCTTCCAGCAAACGGATATGGCTTCAAGTTGTTTCGCTTCCATCATCAAACCTTGCAGGAAGTGAAAGGAAGTCAGGACAGTCTTATTTCCAAGCCAAAGACGGTCTCTATTTTGCTTCCCTAAGCATAAAATAAATGCTCGCGTCTGCCGATCCGTAGTCCCACCTGGGATCTAGTGTCAGTTTGTCAATATCTCGGAAGCCGAATTTCTGATACAAGCCGTGGGCGGCAGGAGACGATTCAAGGTACGTAGGGAGGTGCAGTTCGTCGGCGATGTCAAGGCCCCATTGTATCAACTTTCCTCCTGCACCACGTCCCTGGTATTTTGGATCCGTCTGCAGGAGGTCAAGTACTGTTTGTGTCTCCTCAGTCAAGGCGTACGAGGGCGGCCAGTCCGTGCAGAGTCAACTCACAGCAATATGCCTTGCCACCCATCAGGTCGTTTCGTTTTCTGTGAATCCCGCCGAAGAACTCCTCGCAGGCTTCGACGTTGCATCCAGGACCAAACTGTCGACCCCGACTCGGCTCTCTGGGTTCCTCGATGATGTTCCACTTCGCAAACGCGGCAATCTCGCCAGTCTCAGTGTCGAGCGCCTTCACCCATCGGACGGTTGGATCTTCGTGGAGCTGCTTGATGAGCCCTTCCGCACGCTCATCCTTGGCCTGCGGTGGGAATGGTCCCGGGAACAGGATAGGCTGGAGAGGGTTCGAGGCATAGGCGAGACGCTCGATCTCTACGATGCGAGGGGCATCGGCCTCATCGGCGGGCTGAAGAACGAGAGGCATCTCGACAAGATAATGCTCTCAAGAAGAGGAGTCTAGAGGGGAATGTGAGTAAAAACGCTTTCATAATTACGGTTGAGATGCAGTTACGTGTCGCATTAAAGATTGCTGCCTAGTTTGTTTGGAGAGTTTTCCTGTGGATCTGCAGGGCCTCGTAGATATGAAGGCTGATGCTACCTTACCAAACCCGCCTACCTGGATATCACATACGTAGTTTCCTCTTTACAACTGCTTTGACAGTGTTAGCTTCCATGTGAATGAGTCAGACCAACCCCCGCGGAGGTGCTGGAAGCTCCCGAGGCCGAACAACCCATCAAGCCAAACAACTTGCCAAACTGCGCCAAGTTGACCAGAGACTTGCTACCCCTCGACGCGGCAAGCCACCCACGAGCTCAGCTCCCTGAGTCCTTACTAATGCATTTCTGCCCCTCCCTTACTTGTCTCGAAGAGGAAGTCACACATGTCATCGCGAACCACAGAGCTAAGCCTGTTCCTGGATGACTGTTTCGCGCATGGAGCGACAACCGCATCCCGTTCAGCAAGAAGCTGGGCGATTCTGTGTGAAACAGTCCCTGAGAGTTCAGGAAGTACCGAAAGCGAGTAGTTGCCTAAGAGAGTCGTTGCCGATGGCGAGATCCTGTCCTTCTTTGTGCATGATGGCCGGAAGCACCAGCCAGAAGCTGGGCAGAGCAAGTCTCAGAATCTGTGTATAAAAGGTGGGAGAAGCCCCGTGGTGAAACCATGACTGTATGTGAGCAGATTCGCACCAAACATTCTCAAAGAAGAGCACACTCAGAATTATTCTACCCAGCACCCCGATAACCGACAGAAGAACAATGTCAGCAAGCAGATTACCCAGCACAATGCGTGCCCTTTTGCACAACCAGAAGAAGCAGACTCTAAGCCTCGCCTCGACTGCTCTCCCGACTCCATCCTCGACGCAGTACTTGATCAAGTCACACGCCGTGGCCCTGACGGCGGGCGAACTCCTCTGGCCTCGCCCGGAAGAGCTCACCATTTCGACGCCCGGCGTGGAATTCGTCGCGGAGGTGGTCTCTTCTCCATCCTCTGGCTCCAAGTTCAAGCCGGGAGACGAGGTCTATGGACGGGTCACTTACCCGCAGGCCGGAGCTGCAAGGCAATACTCAGTCTCCGACGATAGCGAACTCGCCCTTCGTCCCAAGAACTTGTCCGTCAACGAGGCAGCTACCATGCCAGTCGGCGCCTTGACCGCTTGGCAAGCGTTGTTTGAACAATTCAAACTCACTCCTCCGACCCTGAACTCTGTAAGGGCCCCGATTGAGCAGCAGCGTATCCTCATCACCAACGCTTCTGGCGGCGTCGGAATCTGGGCCGTCCAACTCGCCAAACTGATTGGTCTGTACGTGATCGGCACCACAGGCCCCAACAACATCGACTTTGTCCGCTCTTTGGGCGCAGACGAAGTCCTCGACTACCGCACGACGAATATCCGTTCTTGGGCCGAGGAAGATCCGGCTACACGCAAGGTGGATTTCGTCTTCGACTGCATCGGCCTGTCCTCGCTCGACCAGGCGTGGCATGCAGTCAAGCGGGGCGGGCAGCTCCTGACCATCGTCCCACCGGCGGATATGCAGTGGAAGTTTCTCCTGGATACTCCTGCAGGCGTAGACGAGAGCGTCACTGGAAAATTCTTCGTCATGCATCCCTCTGGCGAACAGCTGGGCAGGATCACCGAGTTGGCGGAACAAGGGCGAGTGCGGCCCGTGGTGGACAGTGTGTTCAAGCTAGACCAGTTTGAGAAGGCATTTGAACGCTTGGGCAGTGGCAGGACTAGGGGGAAGGTCGTGTTGAGAATTGATGACGAGGACTAAGGTATCTCTTTTGTTCTTTGGTGAAATTGTTCTAGGATGGCGGACTGCAATTTGTAGTTATAACGAGAAATCGTGCTTGATAATGTCATATATATTCTTGCAGTTATTGAAGACTCGCTGACTAAAACCTCCTGATGCCATGTCAATTTAAAATATTTTAAGCGTATATATTGGCCCCATATATATCATGTATGCAGACCCGTCTATTCGTAAAAGACCAGCGATCGCACTTCTATGCTCTGCCTTCCAGGCGCGCCTGCAGGTGTCTGCGGATCCACAAAGGCAGTATGCGGCGTGTACCCGGCTATGCCCTTCTTGCCGCCATTGACCTCGCTGGCCGAGTCGAAACACTTGATGAGCATGACCTCCTCGGGCGTCATGTCCTTCATGTAGAAGAACTTGTGTTTGTCGTTGGGCCGGACGGCAAAGGTTTCACCCTTGACCTCGTAACCGGCAGTGGATGAAGCGGAGTTTGGGTCGGGAAGAACCTCCTTGCCCCGGTCGTCATCGTCGTGGACACCATTGGAT